TGAACGTTTCTCAAGACCCCCTCCCAGACCTTTATCACCCAGACCCACTGGATGATATGATGCTGGATCTTGGAGAATTCCTGGGATTAATGAACCTCTAGCAACCATAAAACCACCTTTCAATCTACCAACTGAAAACATTTTTGCTATGGAGCAACCACAACCTCAAAATCCCATTCCCACTCCCGCTTATACAATAATAATTTCGCCTGATATCACTCCACCCACCTCACCATAAAATACAACCCCACTCTCAACTACTCAAATTCCAGAACAACAAATTTTTGAACAAACTGATATTGCTAAACCATCCGTACCTCATGATATATCAGAACCTCATATTTGTGTTAACCAACCTGAACCTGAACCTACAAATACTCCTGAAACCAATAGCTTTTTAAGAACTGTAGTGGACTCTCAATCTCTACAATTCTTGAAAAACAAATCTTACAGAACGGCTGTCCCTAAACCTATTCAGCCAGATGTAAATATTTTGTTTCAGAATTTTATAACAAATGTTCAAGCATGGTTACAACCGCTGAAAGAAGATTGCCTCAGAAGTGTGAACACCGCAACAACAAATCTTTTATGGGAAACTTTCAGAAGAACCTTGGTTGCTGAATCACGGAAGTTACTGGATTTGTGCCACTCTCAGGTGCTGGACAACTTTTCCAAACTTCTGCATGTTTTCAAGACAGAAGCTGTTGATACTTGGAATAAGAAGTCTTCGCTACTGATTGCTGATACACCAGCTGATAAGATGGACATATCAGAAGACAAATTTGAAGAATACTCTGAAGATTCAAATCCTCTGGCTATTGTTCTATTGGATCAACCTTCAGTTAAGGATGGACCTGAACTTGTGCCACTCTTGCAATGGATATGGGCACTCTTCTCTCAACCTTTGTGAAGTCTGATTCATCAGTTGCTGCTTCTAACCCTGTTTCTACTGAAGCTTCATCATCTTCTGCCCTTACCTCACTCATTATGGACACTCTGAAAGAGCTAAAGAGGGAGAATGAAGTCTTGAATAGACGCATGGATAAGCAAGATCAAACAAATTTAGACTTCAAGAACTGGATGGCAATGCAAAGTGAATCTGCCTCTGAGATCAAGAACCTTCTGATGGCTCTTGTCTCTAAGAAATCCTAGTTTCTTTTTGTCTCTTATTTGGATGTTTTGTTTGTACTTCTGGATATTTATTATTTTAACTTTTTATGGAATCTTTCAAAATTTCTCGTTTATTACACTTTTTGATTATGCCAAAAAGGGGGAGAAAATGTGCATGTTTTAACTAATCACTGTTTAACAGTTATGGGACTATGTCTCAGACATTCTAACATAATTGCAAGAATTCCCTCTGTGCAAAAGATTTTTTTGCAGGTATCATTTAACTCTGAAAGAATATTCCAGCTAAGATTTATCTTCTTGAAGAAGTTTTGAAGAAATTCAAAAAAGGTTGTGTATCACTCTGACTAAATAATCTCAAGATGTCTTATGCATAGATATATTCATTACAGGGGGAGATTCTTATCTCTTAATCTGTTTCTTTTCTTTATCTAAAATAATTTTTTGTCATCATAAAAAAAGGGGGAGATTGAAAGAACAAGATTAAGTTCTGACCTATCCCAAGTGTTTTGATGATAACTAAATTATATTTAAGATAATTTATGCTCTAATGAATGTGGTTTTGAATGTCTTAGTTAATGTTCTGACAAGAAACATTCCAAAGTGCTAAGCAAAGATTATGAAGAAGTTCTTTGATAAAAGAACCTTTTATTCAAACGCATTTGTTGACTCTGGTAAGAACACTCATTTGTTAAATGTATCTTCTAACTTCTAGCAGGCTTCTTGATTCTGAAGATAACTTGAAAGCAAGCGTTGTTCAAAGATCTTAGCAAGCAACGCTCTGACCAGAAGTTGAATAAAGCATGTTCTGAGTTAAAGCAAATACTAAAACAACGTCTTAATCAACGTGTCTTGTCAAAGCAAAGGAAACACGTTCTTACATTCTGACGTTTGCTAACTAATGCAAAGACGGCTGAAAACACTCAAGTTCCTACAACTAGTTTCTTGGAGAATGGAATTTTGCAAGGATACTACGCAAAGCATTTAATGCTCTCCATTTCCTCTGAAGGCTACAACGGTCTTATTATTCCTACTATAAGTAGAAGGACATTTATTGCAAGCCAACAACAATGTTTAAACAAGAAACTACGTGAATGGTTCAAAAAGCTTACAAACTCATAGTTCTTACATTATTGTGTATTACATTCTAAGAAAAATCACAGTTGTGATATAGCTTGATTAGAAGCAAACTCTATTTCAATTATCTGTAAAGATTTATACTTCTGTACTTTTTTTCCTTGAGAGACCAAGTTTGGTCAGATTTCTCAAGCAGACTAGGACTAGATTTAAGTCTTAGTGGTGTTAGTCACTTGTAAGTTTACTTGTGCATTGTTAGTCACAACAGTTGTTGTGTGATTGTAATCAGTTGATTATAGTGGATTAAGTCCTTGTTGAGAAAGGAGAAATCACCTTGGCGGGTGGACTGGAGTAGTTTGAGTTCAAACGAACCAGGATAAAAATAACTGTGTTATTCCATTACTGTTTTAAGCTTTGTATTGAAAGAACGAATAGAGTCACTTATTCAACCCCCCCCCCCCCCCCTTCTAAGTGTTTTCTTACCCCCTTCATTATCAACAACTATACTTTCTCTAACGGTAAAGGAATGTTTTTTATTATTGTGTTCGTGAGGGTTTGCGACCCTTTGCCTACGTATCCAGTGAAGGAATCAGAACACCGTAGAACCACCGTATTTCCTCTAAAAATGTTGGTATGTTTGTGTTTTTAGTGGGCGATGTTAATGCATACATTCTAGCAATAGGCACGACCTGTATCGCGGTAGAACGAAGATAACATGCCTTTCGGGGTAAGTTTTGATTGGTTGTAAAAATTTAAACAAAATATAAAGTTAAAAGAGAAACAAGAAAAATGGAAAAAAGGGAAAAATGGTCCTCGCGGTGTTGGACCCGAGACCCCTAGTTTAATCTCTTATAACTCTTACCACTACATCAGGCTTATTTATCGGTTATTTTAACAACTCAAAGACAATAAAAATCAAAACTCAGAAAATGGGTTGGGCTAGGCCCAAACACGGATTCATCTGAATAGAGAGGGACTTAGATTGTTGGGAACCCTAATTTTTGAAAAGGGGCGTCGCGGATCTCTTTCATGGGGAAGGGAAAAGAATCAATTTTAATTATTTATAGCTTAATTAAACGAATCCAAATTATTCTCTTCCCTCAACGTCACACGTCTTCCATCTCTTTGTTTCACGCTCTTCTCTCTCTCAAATCGTTTTCGCTTCCTCCATCCCTCATCGTTCTTTCACTCATACGCTTCATCTTTCTAAAAAAAACAACATCACTCTTAATGAAACAGAAGAATCACTATTGTTTCGTGATATCACCTCCTCTGCTCCTGAGTTTGTATACGTGGTGTTATTGATAAGATCTGGTTGGCATGGCAGCAGTTCTGAATCGCAGGGGGGCGAGTGATTTAGTGTAAGGGTTTTTTTGGTTGAAGAGAGTTTTGTAGTGTGAGATGAATGAAGTTGACGGAAAGGTTAGAGTGTAGGTGAGTTGATGGATTTTTCAAAGCTTATTAAATAGAGGTTGAATGAATGGAGGTTAAGAGTGAAGGTGGATCTTCGTTGAGGCTAAGGTTTTAGTGTGGTGACTATGAATTGTGGTTTGTGAATAGAGGCTTGGAGAGACAGATTTATGCATAGTTTCTGTGGTTTGACTCTTCTGAGTTCTCTGTTTATGCTTGTTACATTTCGGTCTGGCGATGAGTGTGAAACGTGAATGTATGAGTATGTATATGGAAGGTCAGGGATGAGTGAAAAGCCACAGTTTGAGAGTTTTTTTTTTCATTCATTCTATTTTTTGTTATATTTTTCATCATTCCAAACTGATAAAAGAGGCACAATAACTATAACAGGAATCATGGTAGCAATCGACAATTAGGCATGGACATCAGCAACAACGAATGAAAAAACGCAAAAAAGCAAGGTGCAAGTTAAAACAAAGGTTCAAAGGTTACCAGTTAGAGACTCTCAGCTGGAGCTTCACAATAGTAAGTATAAAATCTTTGTTGAGATAATATTAAGCTTCCTGAATCTTTTTTCTACTTTTCTGTCGGAATCGAATGTGTCGCATTCTTCTTTTATGTATGAGTTCAATAGGTTGTGTTAATAACTGTATTCTGAGGAAGTTGGATGGTTGTATTGAAAGTGTAGTTTAAAGTCTGTAAAATTGGTAATGAAGGATTGAAGATGGTGTTGAGGTGTTGAGGTAGTTTAGACAGAGGTTTGATAGAAAAAGTTTGGTGATTTCTGTGTGATTTTCCTTTTAATTTCTTGTGTATTTTCTTTGAGAATTTTCTATCCGATTTGTGTGTTGTCTCCCCCCTTTGATTAAAAGAACAGAGGGTGGCTTATATAGAGGATTTGAGGGGAGTTTTAGAGGGGGAATTTTTTGAGAAATTTGAACAGATTTGGATGTTGTTTTAACACTTTATTGCTGCAGTTCTATTTTGTTATTTTAGTGTATATCTGGATTGGTGTTTACAGGTTTGAGACAATAGCATAGATGGTCATGGAAGGTTTTTGGATAGTTTTGTTCTGTGATGTAGGGCTGCACATGACTGCTTGAAAGCAGGGTGTTTGGGCTGATTTTGAAGGCTTTTGGGGCAGGTTTTGGACTGACATGTTTGGTATATTACATGGTTATTCTGTTTTGTTTTGTACAGGTTCATGGGCTGATTTTTAACATTGTTTTTGAACAGTTTTTGCAAGCTGATGCAGGGAGGTTTGATGGCTTTAAAATATGGTCCG